AGGGTCGCTATGAGTCGCAAGCGACTCGAGGGCACATAACAACAACAGTTAGCAGATAAGGGGTTTAACTACTAATGCTACCTACCACTGCTCAGCATACTATAAAAACCTAACCCTACCTACTCCTGTTGATCCCATTCTGATTCATGGTATGCCTCCTGGGTTCTTGAGGCTATAATCTTAATATGGGTAAACAGCCTCAAACTTTCTCCATTGGAGTGGCTAACCCTTAACCTACTACATCCTGCCAGGGCTTCTGGAAGATCACTATTAAGGATAATTAAATGGCAGTTTTCTTTCCAATTTTGCCCAGTCATAGAGATAAAAATCCTTAGATTTCTTAATGATGTTCTTAAACATCAGTAGAATGCCCGTGTTCAGGATTTACTTATGAAATAGCTTTGTTCCTAAACCAAATTCTCTCCCCAAAAGTGATTATAGGGGAGCTCTGGTGGCCTAGTGGCAAGGAGCTGCAACTACAATCCCAGAGGTGCACGGTTCGAATCCACGGGGAAGGAGGGACAATCTCCTCCTGTACCAGTCAGATCTGATTTGACGGTACACTCACATAAAAACAAAAAAACTGATTATTAAGTTCCCAAAATCCAAAAAAAAAAAAAAAAAAAGTTCCCAAAATCCAAATGGGGCCAGGGAAAACCAATATTTATTTTAAAATGTCCTAAAACTACAAATTATTCAGTTCATTAATAGTAATAGAAAAGGAATAGGTTGTACTACAAAAACTCTTCTTGTCAATATTTCATATGTAATGATTAAGGCCTATGAAAAATGTGTAATTTTTAAATATCCCCTTAAAACTAAAAAGAGTTTCTTTTTTTAAGTTAAGACTCCTTTATCAAAGGAAAAGAGTTTTACGTTTTCTATTTTTCTGGCTTTCTTAGATATGATTTTTAAATAGGCATAGCATTATTACTGGAAAGGACTGAATTGTGTAACCCTTTTGCCCCACCACCAACCTCACTCCCACCCTGAAGGTGTTGTTAATCCTAATGTCTATAGCTAGAGTTATAATACCAGCTATGAACTGAGCTATCTGTTATGATAATAAATGGGGATTAGTGTAGGGTATGTTTTAAATCAATCTTTTTTTTATATATGAGAGATTAAACAAGCAGTTGAAAGAAGTAGAGATGGGGTAAGAGATGTTAAAATACAGGAAATTAAGAAAGACAAGAACCAAAAACCAAAGACAAAAGTCTCCTTCATTTTCCACCCCCCACCCACTTGAATCGTGCTTTCTAGCCTCTTAAACTAAGAAATGTTAGTTACCCATTTGTAACATTTTGGTTATAGCAGCACTAGATAATTACCAAGGATTTTAACTTAGAGATACCATCCTTGTCAAAGTTACCTAATCCAAATTCACTTAAGTAGTTACAAGAGTGAAATCTATTTGAGTAACAAAACAAGTCTGTACAGGAGCAGACTGAAATGTGCATGCCTCTTTAAAAAAAGGACTGTCTTCCCTAAAACAATATTTGATGTAACTTGTTTATTTGTATCTCATTTTCCTGCGGAGTTAAAAAGAAAAGTTGCTTAAAATAAATACCCAAAGGACAGAACTCTTTTTTCACCTCTCTATGCACTTCTCTGGGAACCTAGTGGCAAGAAGCTGTGCTGCAATCCCAAAGGCATAAAGTTCAAATCCACTGTGTTCTTTGGGAGAAGCAAGCGTAATTCTCTCCTTTAGGATTTACTCCTTCTGAAAACCCGCTAGAGGGTTGTCTATGAGTCGAAGTCACACAATAGCAACAACAACTCATTTCTATGACAGAAGTTGTTTGCTTAAAGTCCCCCTCAGAAAAGGTGCCTCCTACCTAAGTTTTAGTTGATGCTGCAGCACTTGCTATGGATATCACAAATGGATTCTGACTGAGTGGAGAGAATAAAGCGTGAGTTGAGTTTTTTATTCAAAGCGGGGGGGGGGGTGAGATCAGGTGGTTTGAGTGAGTGATCAATTCAAGCCTCTCACTTTTAGATCTTGTTTAAACTCGCTTCACAAGGCACGAGTAGCTGTAGTTCTTGGGATAAACCGAGAGAGAGGCTACAAATAAAGGGACTGAAACTGTGCAAGCAGCAGCTCGGGGTTATCAAAACAACAGCAAGTGGCACATGCCAGGCGGCCCACATGCGCTGGGTAATGAAGAGGCTGAAGCTGAAGTTGAACTTGTCGGAACTCCCTCCCACAACTCCCAAAGTCTTCCTTCCCAAGACGCGAAAGTGAAAACGAGGGGCGCCCTGGGCATCGCTCTCTCCCCCTTCCTCTTCTCGCCGGCCGGGACTTCTTCCCCACTCGGTCTCCCTGAGGCGGAGACGCCAAGTTCCCTGGGGCCAGGAGTTAGTCACCCAGAAGAGGCGGTGACAGCGCGTGCGGCTCAAGTCGCACACTCCGAGGCCTAGCTGCGCCGCAGAGGGGGTCGGCGGGGGCTCCAGTGTCCTGGACCCCCCCCCCCCAGACCCCGGCCCTCCTAAAACCACTCTCCTTCCCCGCCTCTCAACTCCGCTCCCTCCCGTCCCTACGCCAGTCTGGGCCAACAAGCGATCCCACCGCCGGCCAAGGAAACGAAAGCCCATCGCGACCGTTTCCTGCCCCCAAAGACACAGGGCTTCCCTCCTCGAGCCGGGGGGGACCGCAGCCCCACGCCGCTGGCCCGAGCGGGGAAGCCCGCGGCCGCCGGGCGGGGATCCCGGAACTGGTCCCGGAGTGCGCGTGTGGCCGCGGCGGGGAGGGGCGAGCCGGGGGGTTTCCGCCGCCCGGCCGCGGAGCAGACAGGCGGCAGCCGGGACCCGGAGCGCTTCCCGAGGCCGGCCGGGACCCCAGCCCGCTTCGCCCCGGGCCGTTACCCCCAACGCGCACCGCGGCCAAGCGGGCCAGCCCCGGGCTCCGCTCCGCCTCTCGGTCGAGTTCTAGGAGGCGAGAAACGCGGGCCTGTGGCCACCCGTCACTTTCAAATCACCCCGCCAGAAGCCCAGGGCTAGAAAAAGGAGAGACAAAAGGGCGCTGGGGATCGAGACAAGAGCTGAACGGAGCTCAGGGTGCCGGAGAGGGCGTCCCCGCACCCCCCGCGCCCAGCCCAGCCCTTACTCGTAGTGGCGGAAGATCTCGTTGGTGACTTTACAGTAGAAAACTTCCTCATCGGGCCGGAGGTCTGTCGGCGGCTTCTGTCTCACAAACGGCTTTCGGTGTAGCAGCGGCATCTCCTGTCCGCCCGCGGACTCGCCCGGACCCTCTGCCGCCTGCGTCGGCCTCGCTTCCCTATCAAAATTGGAGGGAAAGGAAAGCCGGTAAGGTGGGGAGCGCTCGGCGGCGGCGTGGGCTGGTCCACGCGCCCGGGGCAGGTCGGCTGCCTTTTGTGTGACTGACGCTCCGCCGCTACCTTCGGAACCGACTTCGCTCCGGTCGCCGGCACGGTCTGGAACGAACCGAAGCACCGTCGCCTCTGCCCTCCGAGCGCGCCCCACCTCCGCACCGCCGGCCGCCGGTTCACAATGGGGCCGGACGCCCCACGGCGGGCAGGCTGGTGGTGCGGGAGCGGGACGGCCCCCTCCCCCAGCGCCGGCTCCTAGCCGGCTGCCGCCGGGCTCACAACGTGCTCGGCGCTCTGCCGGCGCGCCCGACCCCGCGAGGGCGCCCACCGCGGGCCGACCCCCAGCCCTGCTTCGCTTTGTTCCCCCCGCTCGCCAGCACTTGGCTACGGATGCCGGCCGGCTCCCGAGTGTCGCGGGGAGCCCCTCACCTGAGAACACGCCGACTGCCACTTCACCTTCTCAATTACAAAGAAGCGAAGGGAGGCTCTGACTTCCCAAGGGGTGGCTTCCAGATGTCCCCGCTGCACCCCCGGCCTCCGCTCCTCCTGCTGCCACTGCTGGTCGCTGCGCGAGGGGATCACGTCCCACTGCCACTTCCCCGCCTCTCCGAGCTCCTGGGAAGTTTCTGATCTACTTTCGGCTTTGAAGGAGGAAGAGCTGTTGGGAGGAGCTTTTCACTTCTCGCTTCTACCTTTTTATTGGCTACTCGATGACTTTTATAGCCTGTCACTGATACAGGAAGAGACGGCAGAGAGCTCGGGAGAGCTACATTATTAATTAATGGAGCAACCCCTTGTGAAGAATCAGAAGCATCCTCCATGTTTGAGATTATCAGCCAAAAGATCTTGGGAAAGCGCTAAGGTTTCATAAACACATGGCTAGCAAAGTAAAGCCTTCGTTTTCAAGTCTGGCACCAACGGCTAGTTACACGATGGGAAAAGGATTCAAATTACAATTTAACTTGCATTTTAAAGATGGGAAGTCAAATGAAGAATAAGAAAAAGAATTTGATACTTTCTTCTTCAAAACTAGAATTCGAACCTCTACAAAATACTTTGCTGGTGTATACATCCATCTTGAAAATACCTATTTTGACAGCAGTTCTCTACTACTTAGAGATGGGAGTTCATAATAAAATAGCAGAAGAAAAGAGGAAAAAAGATTTGTTAGGAAATATATCTAAAGGGTTCTCACATAGTCAAAAATTTAAAACCACATCCTACAAAAGTAATATTCAAAATACATTACTGACAATATTTTGCAAGTCTCACAACTCTTTGGTAAAAGAATTTAACTCTATTATTCAGAATTTTTCAGATTATAAATTTACTATTGAAATTTCCTCTAAAACAACTTTCTTATATATCAATATTTTTTGCCTGTGAAAACAATTTTCATGTACATGACATGTGACTTTGAATCAGAAAGGATTTCTGAAACTAGAAGAAACTCAGAATATTAACTTTTAACGTATTTTTGCTACTGCCTTTGATAGTCGCATATTTTCAAGTTAATGTGTTAAAAATTAGTAAGCTTTAAAAAGTTCTTCAACAAAAAGTTTATTCTAATTATTCATTCTGTGGATTATAATTACAGCATATGCTTTTAAATTCATTAAACACATATACACTGGAGCAGAAAAAATGCAAGGGATTATCCGAATCTCAAGAGTTACCCCATTTTAACTTCCTTCTGGTCAATTTTATAGCAGTTGGAAGAATAAATGTTTTGTGAATGGCCTAATTTTGCTGCATATTTTAAAAGTGAATATTAATGGATTTTAAAAAATTTTATATGCAGCACATAACAATAACAGCATATGGAAGTCACAGAGGCTTGGGAATTATCTCAGTAGTATTTCTATAGCATGGCTAAACTTTCCCAAAAATTATGCACTCAAAAGCTTTAGTGTTTTAAACAGTGAAGTATACTAAGTCGTATACTGAGTGGTATCTTGTTTTGTTTTTTTTATCCTGAGTGGTGCTTCACAATTCTCAATAAATTTTAAGTTTCCCAATAGAAAAACTAAAACTCCATAAAAAATAAACTCAAAAAGGATACAAAGGGTACAATGAGGATGGGTAATTTTCAATTTACATTGAATTGTCATCTTTACAACTAAAAAATCTTAATTTAACTGTTAAACAAATAAAAGTGTTTCTGAACATTAAGTATTTTAATAAATATCTATATTTTATATACATTGTTAAAATAATTTTGTTAAAATTATCAAAGGCAATAATATTGATATTATTTTTATATGAAGTACAAAATTTTACATATGCTTTCCTTATAGTAACTTCAAATGGGAAATTTTATTCTATTGAAAATCATACTATCAAGATGCTATCCCACTCAAATTACAATTTTAACATAAGTCAGTTTTGAGTTTTATAGATACCATTTATTTTAATAATTTGCTACATTTAATGTCCAGTTCATAATTCAGAAAAATAGAAGTATAGGAAATATTGAATATGCTAAAAATGTAGCATTGATGTGTTTAAAATACTTGATTAAATTAATCAAACTAATCATCTATCACCTCTCATAAAGTTATCCTATACATTCCCTATTGAAAGCTTATCTAATTTTGTATTAATGTATTTATTTTGGTACCATGATTACTTCCTTGTTTTATTAATTGTTCTTGTCTTTAGAAGGTAAAAAGCTTATTGTTACATTCAGAAAGTTATGCTAAAGAACAGTCATGAAATGGCGCTTTGTAGGAAGAATACTGTAATCTATAAAGTACTACAGAAATATAAAACAATGAAATTGAAATAATTTTATTTTTTAAGTAATTAGTCAAATGCTCTTGAGCTCCTTTTATGTGCAAAAACATTGTATTAGCTCACAATGAAACTATATTCTGGTCTGAAGAAATTTACAAACTTGTGAAGAGCTGGTATAAATATAAATAACAATACAAGAATTGACAGGTCTAATGATCATAGGTAATATGCAAAAAAAAAAAAAAAACCAACCAGGAAAAATTGAAGAAAATGCTAGAAACCCAGGATGAAGTTTCTCACTTTGGTATGATTTAAAAGGCAACCCAAAAATCTTGCTCTCTAACATACTGTAGGAGTACAATCCCATCCATCATCAAGTCACCTCTCTAGGTGAAAGTTTTTGGTGTGCCTTACTTAAATAGAAAATGTAAACATGATAATTAGGCAGGTTGTATACTCATAAAAACATAGTTTTTATATAAGTATCAAATTCTAGAAGGTAGTCTTCGGTGGAGACATAAGACTAGGGGATAAGACTATAGCATTATAAGTAATTTATAAGTTTTCTAAAACCTTTAACTACAGTAACTTCCCCTATTTTCTATTCATTAAAAAAACTTTATGTAGACAGTCTGGTGAGATCTGGTGGATTTGGTGAGCCACTGGTGGATTCAGTGATCACAGGATTTAGAATGAAAGAAACCTTTAGGAACTCTAGAATTCTCTTATGGTGCACTTGATCCAAGCCATTCTATTTCCAGTCACCAGCTATGCATCTGAGAACTGGGTAGTGAATAAGGATGACAGAAGAGAAAGAACTCATACCTTTGAGCTGCAGTGTTGGAGAAGATTGCTGTATATCCCATGGACTGCCATAATAAACAGATATCTTTTGGAGAAAGTGCAATCAGAGTGCTTCTTATGGGCAAAGATAGAGAAGCTTTGTCTCACATACTTTGGCATGCTATTAGGAGGGCTATTCTTGGAAAGGGACATCATACTTGGAGGGTCAGTGAAGGAAAGGAAGACGCTCATAAAGACAGATTGACACAGTGACTGCAGCAAGGGGCTCAAGTATGTCAAAGATGATGCAAGATTAGATGGTTCGGATCTGCTGTTCATAGGATTGCTTTGAGTCATACTCTACTCGACATACATAAAAACAGTGGGCCATTAGAGCACCCTAGTTGCTAAGTTGTTATACACCATCGAGTTGGGATAGCTGATCCACCAGTGGGTTTTCAGAGGCAGTAAATAACACAGGAGGCTATTGCCCATGTTTCTCCAGTGTAGTAGCTGGTGTTAATAGCAGAGCTGAACTGGAGTTTAGGTCAACTTATTCCTGGTCCATCCATGCTCTTTAGAAAACAATTTTTCCTTGGATAGTTGTTGTTAGGTGCTATCAGTTCAAGGACAACTCATAGCAAACCTATGAACAACAGATCTGAACTTTCTCCTATCCCATGCCATCTTCACACTTCCTGGCATACTGGAGCCTATTGTGGCAGTCATCGTGTCAATCCACCTGGTTGAGGGTCTTCTCCTTTTCTGATTCTCTGCCTTTCTAAGCATCATGTTCCTCTCCAACGAATAGCCCCTCCTAGCAACATGCCTGAAGTTTGTAAGATGAAGCTTTATTATTATTCTTGCCTCCAAAGAGCACTCTGGCTGCACCTTCTCCAAGACATTTACTTGTTCTTTTGGCAGTCATGGGATATTCAGGACTCTTTTCCAACACTACACCTCAAAGGCATCAATTATTCTTCTGTCATCTGTAGTCATTGTCCAGTTCTCAGATATATAGTAAGTGATCAGAAAGACTATGGTCTGAATCAGATCCACCTTAGTTCTTAAGCTGACATCATTACTCCTCAGTAACTTTGGAGAGGTCCCTAGCTGCAGACTTTCCCAGTGCAATATGTCTCCTGATTTCCTGACTGTACCAAGGCTGTTGATTGTGGATCCAAGTAAGATGAAGTTGTTGACAGTTTTAATATTTTCTCCATCTATCTTTATGTTGCCTATTGGTCCAGTGGTAAGAATTTTTGTTTTCTTGATGTTCAGATGCAATCCATATCGAAGCCTGTATGTATTGATTTCCTTGTGTATGCTATATATACTGTATCTGTAAGTGAACCAAGACACCATTCCAAATCCTTGCTAAACTGCTAAAATGTGTATTTTTGTTGTTGTTGTTGCTGTTATATAGCCTCAAGTCAGAACTGACTCATAGTTGACCCGCCAGTGAGTTTTCAGAGGCAGTAAATTGCACAGGAAGAGATTGCTCATCTTTCTTCTACAGAGCATTTGGTGGATTTGAACCATAGCCTTTAGATACAAGTCCTTACCACAAAGCTGCCAAAGCGCTCTCTCTCTATTTTGTTTTGTATTTTCAAAGCTGCCCTTGAAAAGCTGCCTTTAAAAATTTCTGTTCCGCTCTCTAACTCCAGTGTTTTCTCCTTTTGACTTCTTTTACATTGTAGTACAAGTTTCAAAGTCCCTTCTGACATACATTTTGGTCTGTTCTTTTTTTCCTGTCTTTGTAATTATCTTTTACTTTCTTTATGGCTGATATCCTTCATGTCATCCCAAAACTCTGGCCTTTAGTGCGTTAGTGTTCAATGCATCAAATCTATTTTTGAGATGGTTTTTAAGTTCATTTAAAATAGATCCATCTGTGTGTTCAGCCCTTTGCTGCCCGGCTGCTGTGAAGCTGGACGAAGTGCTGCCCTGGACGGGGCCAGCGTGCTCCTTCAGGGGGCAGCCAGCCTGCTTGCGGGCGCTCCTTACGCTTGCTCCACAACTCAGTCAGTGGCCACCACTGCCCAGGTGGGTGCCCGGCAGGCCAGGCGGAGCGGCCTGCACTCCGTGCCCTGTGCGATGTGGGGTCCCTCACTCAAGAACCGTGACCTGCCCTAATGCCAGCCGGTTACGCCTGAATAGAAGCCAGAGAATTCTCTGGCTATTTTTGTACAATTCTTGTAATTGCCTGATTTACTTGTTCCAATTAAATAAAAGAGCTTTTCACAATCCTCAAAAAAAAAATAGATCCAAAGTTATGTTTTGGTCCTGTGGACTTGTTTTAATTTTTTTCTTCTTCAATTTGAATGGCAAGAAGCTGTGCTGCAATCCTGAAGGCATGCAGTTCAAGGCCACCAGCTGCTCCATGAGAGAAGGATGAACAATCGCCTCTCATGCAATTAACT